GGCGCCGACGCCGGCGGCACCGGCGGCGCCGCGGCGGCCGGGCCGCCGGCCTTGGCGCCGCCGCGGGGCTGGGGCGTGTCGACAGATGGCGGCGCGGCCGCCGTCGATGGCCCGGCCGCGGCCGCCTTGGGGGCGGCGTCCCTTTGGCTGCGCTCGTCGTCGCCGGCTGGGGCCTCCTTGGCACCTGCGGAGGCGGGCGGGGCGCAGGGAGGGGCGCTGGTCAGGCTCGCTCAGCCCTTGCCACATCCAGCAAGACGCATGTACGTCCTCGGCGACTGACAGCGTTGGAGTCATGGGTATTCCGAGTACACTGAGGCTATCCGCAGAAACACCCATTTCGTCACATGCATGAATCATTCAAAGTGCGAGTCTCTCGAATCTGCTCACGCTTCTGAGCCACTGGGGAAGCCGCGGCCGCGCCCTCCCCCTCCGCCGCCTGCGACGCCGTCGCGGCCTTCGGCGGCCGCCCCCGCTTCTTCGCGCCCGCGGGGGGCGTGGCCGCTTTGGCGCCCTTGCCGCCGCGTGCTGCCTTGGTGGGGGTGGGGGCGGAGCCGCCCTCGTCGCCGCCGCCTTTGCCGCCGCTGGGGGATACCAGCACAGTCAGAAGCTCTGCCAGAGAGATCCACTCTGAGTCGCCGTCCTCGTAAACTATCTGTGATGTATGAGATGGCATGGAATTGCATCGATTCATTTCAGATCTCGCTGGGCCGTTGCTATCAGATCATGTCGCCGCGCTCCCCATGGTGACATCGCGGGCGCATGGGGCAGCGGGGCGGGTGCAGAGGCAGCGGGCAGGTGGGCATGGGGGTGTGGATGCAGTCAGGCGGCCTCACGCGGAAGGGCCTGTCGTCCTTGAGCTTGGCGTCCACCGCCACGACCTGTGTTGGGGTGCCGCATGCACAGGCATGCGTGAATGCTCCGCGGGTGTGCTGCTCAGGGGACAGCAGCGGGCAAGCGGCACCGGGCAACGGGCGACATGCGCTCCGATTTTGCCGCGGCGCGCCCGACCATGAGGCGACCCGCTCGGTTACCTTGCCACTGAAAGGTTTGTCTCCGTATCCTGGGAAGACCTTGGCCACTTGCCGGCCCTTGTATATTTTGAGATCGGCCATGCTGTTCGGAGAGAGCCGAAGCGCTCCTTGTCGACAGCTTCACGTCAAAGATTGTCTTCAAGTCACCGCGGTGCGAGTCTCGCCAAGAAGGCAGGATCAGATCACATGCAGCTGGCGGGAAGTGACACACACGCGTTCAACAACAGCGGTGACTTTACGGTGGACATATGTCACCTGCGGGTAGATTGGTCAGCATAGCCATTGTTCAGCAAGGGATCGCCCACTTCAGCACAAGGTGCGCCATACAAAGGCACACACAAGCCCGGATGTTGACTGCAGATGGTTGGCCAGGCTGCATCATTATGTAGAGCTGTATAAGAGGACTGGCATGTGTGAATTGCAGGCCAGCACAGCTTTATCTGACATTGGCACACACAAACACACACACGCACGCTCACACACACACTCATCTGCCAGTGCCCTTCACCTGAATTTGGGTTTTTGTGAAGTAGAGCAGGCCGCAGCGACGGTTTGGAAGGGCGCGGGGGGGCCGGCTGTGCATCAGGCAATCACGCTGGTCGTGCCTCGCAGGCCAACAGAGGATTTAACCCAATGCAGACGGACACAGAATCCAAGGACTTAGTGCTGAAGCTTTGGGTGGGCCTTTGCCAAATGGACAGGGCTGCCCCATACCCGCTCCCCCCGACGCATGCACGCGTTCAAAATCAAGAAGCTGAGTGGCTCTCTTTGCACGCCAGGGAATATGGTACAGGGTACAACTCAGTCCGAAGCCCGCGCAAAATCGGCCGGACAAGGTTCCCAGACCGCGGAACCAGCCGCTAGAGCGCCGTCCGCTGCATGCATACAGCAAACGGAACCGCCTAGAACGATTTGAGGGACCTGGACCACGGTGTCCTCAGTTCCACTGTTTTTGGCAACATACCATCGTGGGTGGTGTTCATTGTGCGCGCTGGTGCTTGCTGTTGGATGTTGAAACGCCAGGCAGGCCAAGGGGAAAACGGCCTGCTGCATGCCGAGTCGCAAACATGCTATGCCTGGGAGCGGGCCGGCCGTGCGCTTTGTGTCGCACGCCGCCTGGGTGCATGTGGAAGCGCCACCCACACAGTCGAAAACAGCCGGCGTTGCAGAAGTTGCGCCGGCTCAATGGTGCACCCAGCTGAAGTCAGCGCTGTGGTCGGGGGCGTGGCCTTGCATGCATATATATGGATGCAGGCCCAGGACAAAAAACCTTGTTGTGACAGTCAATTCAGCAGGATGGGGCCGTCATGGCGCCAGCGCTGACAGCAGTATGAGGCACAGGCCCACCGGCTTGAGGCTCTCCTCAATCGCGGAACCCATCACCGCCCTGTCGAACCCGCTTTTCAAAATCCCAAACGACAACTGCCCCAGCCGCGCGGTTGCCAGCACCACCACCGCGGCCCGGGCCGCGGCGGCCCGCGGGCCCCAGGCGGCCGTGGCAGAGGCGAGCGCGGCGGCGGCGCCAGCGAGGACGCAGCACGTGGCGGCGAGCAGCGCGCCGCGCTGGCCTATCATGACGGGGAGCGTCTTGATGCCCGCGGCCCTGTCGCCCTCCAGATCAGTGAGGTCCATAACGATCTCTGCATTGAGGGATCAGGGCGGTGCAATGTTCAAGTAGCGTCACTGCAGCGCACAGTACGGCCCAGCTAGGTACTTGGCCAGCAGTGACGTCTTTAATAATGTTGACCGATGCAGGGGCTGACAGGAAAAGGCCAGGGGCGCGCTGTCGCAGGGGCCGACCCCAGTGGGTGGCCACAGTGCAGCTCAGCAGGGGCCAGAGACCCCAAGCAACGCACGCTGCTTCAGCACGTGCCGAGGGCGGTAGCTCACCCCTGAACATGACCCCGCTGAAGGCAAAGAGCGTCGCCGGCAGCAGGCGCATGACGCCAGCCTCCCCCTGGACAGGATGGGGCGAGGAGGACGCTGCCAGTCAACGCTTGACATTGGATGCCACAAACTTCATAGCAGCTGAGCCTGGCGCACAGGCATCCCATGCAAAGGGAATGTTGAGAGACCCCCAAACATCAGGACCCTGCAAACTGCCAAGGGTGCGCAGGAGGGCCGCGGCCCCTGCGCACCGCGCCGGCTGCGAGCGCGCCTCCCAGGGGTGCGAGGGCTATCACGACCGCCACGGTGGCGTTCTTGATGGCCGTCAACTTCTTGAACACTGCGCATGCAGGTTTGAAAGCCGCGACAGTGATACCTTGAGCACAGGGTGACTTATTGACGAGGGTCATGGCTCTTCGACGACTGTGATGGATGAGTGCGTTTTTTTAGGTGGCAGCGAGGCGGGGGTCGCGCTGGGGGGGCGACCCTGCGAGCGCGGCTGGCGGCCTGCCCCGTGCGACCGCACCTGGCGTGTAGAGCAGCGTGGCGCCGGCCGACAGCGCAATGATGCTGCGCAGCTGGCTCGGCTCCTGCTCGTGGAATGCAGCATTTGTGGGGTGAGAGCCAAAGTGATGGCAGACTGAAGATTCGTAAGGGCTGTTCTTCTGACCAGTGGGTTACAAGGAGAGGGCGTTGGTGTCGCACAGTTCAAATTCTCCCCATGCAGGCGTTCGTTGCTGGGGGGGGGGTTGTGGCCACGTCAGGCAGTCCCCAGATCTGATAGCAAACCTTGGCTCAAATGTTTGCCAGCTCGACTAGCTTTGTCCCCCTCCTGCGTCGCCCCTTTATGCCAGCGACCAGCACGCACAAAGGCTCCAACATGGCTGCCTGATTTAACGATCTGCGTCAAAGCACGGCCCCGTGCACCTCAACCCGTGTCGCTGCGGGGCGGCCGCCGCCCCCCAGATGCATGGACCCACCATGAAGCAAGCCGTGATGAGCACCGCGCAGTACACGCTGCTCGACAGCAGCAGCGCAATGTCAAGCGGCAGCACGCCGGACGCCAGCGGCTTGTGGGGCGCGTTGGCGCGGTCCACCTGCGCCGGGGATGCGGGCGCGGGCGCATGCGCGGAGGGCGGCCGCGTCGTGGGTCGGTCGTCTGGGCCAGGACTGTACCTGCGTGCAGCGCTCCCAGATCTCAGATGTATCCCTCAACCTGCAGCAACCGGCTGTTTGCAATACACGCCCGCCTCCGCGCGTGCGCCTTGTTGGTGAATGATTCGAATCATGCCCAATCCATGCATGCGCCATGCAACCAAGGATCAGCCATGCATGCACCAACCCCCTGAAAACAGCCCCTGGCAACACCATGCCTCAGGCCGACCACCATGCCTCAGGCCGACCACCAACCTGCACGTCAAAGTAGTCATTGAACACGCACGATGACACGGCGATGCCGCCCGACAGCAGCGACATCAGCCACACCCCCGGGGCCCTGAGCGCGGCCAGGTCGCGGCCGCTGCCGGCCTGGGCGGGCCACGGCATGGCAACATGCGGGGCGGGATGCCGTGCGTGTCGGCTGTGGGCGGAGTCGCACTGGCATGCACAACCCCAATCAATCCCAGCATGCGGAGCACCCCTGGATGCGCGTCGCAATGGGGGCGGTCAGCAGCAAGGGCAGAGTTCAGCATGAACTGCTGATCCAGCCCGCTGGGATTGGAGGCACCCTATTTGCTGTGCTCACCCACGCGCCGACCATGACCAGCAGAAAGCTGGGCAGAAGGTTGTGGACCCGCGCCAGCTGCACCAACGCCTGGGTCTGGCGGTCGGGAAGCATGAGCAGCAGCAGTTGTGACATGGTGTGGTGAGGTTTGCATGGCAGGCTTCAAGGTAAAGCGCGTGCTCGCAAGTGCGCGGCGACTGCCGCACGCCGACGCGCTGCTGCGACTGCAGCCGCCGCCGCCATTTGCTGCCATAACCTCTCACGAGTCGCCGCTATGCTGCCAGCCGCCACCCCCTGGCTCCTGCGCACATGTGTCCCGTTCAAAATGCCCCCCGCACCTTCTTGTTGTCCCATTGATCCGACGGGGGCAGCTCAGGGCTGCTGCCTCCCGCGTCCGCGGCTGCCACCCGTGCCACCAGACGCGCCGCCCGCGGCTGTCGCTCCAGCAGGCTGCTGCCCGGCGCTGCCGCGAGCGCTGCGGCGGCCCGCAGTCCGCCCCAGCCAGCGGGGCGCGCGGGCAGCGCTGCCCACCGAACGGCACCTGCCCAGAATCGAAGGGCAGTGCGCAGGTCCACTGGGTGCTTGCATGGGGCTTGGCGGCCGCATGCGGCGTCCATGCGCGGGGCGCGCACCAGCGCTGCTGCTGCCCTGCAGCTACCCTGCCGGGCCCCATAGCGTGCGTGCAGGGCCCGGTGCGCTCGCCCACCCGTGCGGCGCAGTGTACGGGCCGCGTTTGCAGGAGCTAGCAACCTCTGTGATGCCCCTGCCACGTCCATGATGCTGCTGGCCGGCCTCCCCGCGGCGCCTGTTGTTGAGGACCGGGATCCCGAGGGCAGTGAGCCACTGTCACACTCTCCTGTGTGTCGACGCCCCACCAGCGCTCGCTGGAATCAAGGTTTGTGTGGAGTACAGCAGACACCGTACGTCCAATGAATTTGCGATGGCGCCCTGCTGAGTTGTAACGCGCCAAATGCACGCTGTGCCAGCTCGACTCGCAAGGCGGGAAGCGGTGTCCGTAAGCGGTTGATGGCGACGAAACGGACAGAAAATTAGAGGCAAAGCATGTACAACTGTAACAGCAACCATGTTGTGTTGCCATGCTCTTGCAAGCAGCGAGCAGCTGACGCAGCGCGCTGGGACTGCCCGCCTGGCGTCTCCACCCCCGCTGGTCGGCGCCTTGAGAGCACCCAGGTACAGCTGAACAGCAGGGAAGTAGCCACGCCTGAGACAGTCTGGCCAGTTACTTGCTGACCACGTCCACTTCAGCAGCTCCCGTGATTTGCGCTGCAGGCTGCATTCTTCCTCACAACACGCATGTCAGCTGGATGATGGCTCCCCTGCACTTGACTTCCTGGCACACACCTGATGACTTACACTATTGATAGGCCCAATTGCTTGCAGATCGATTGCAATTGCAATCAAAGCTCGCCCCAGAGGCAGGGCGAGCGAGGCTGGCAGCTGCACAAGTGCGCGCGTGCGCTCGCGCTCAAGGGGTGTGTTCAGGGGTGCCGGCGCTGCGGCGCAGGGTTCATGGCGTTGGCGGCGCTTGGGGGCGCATGACCATGGAATGATACAGCTTGACGGAGGGGAGCGGCGGCCTGCCGGGCAGACGAGCCGGCCCCGGCTGTCCGCGGCAGGACTGCAAAGCGAGGAAGCGCCGGGCCAATACCTATGCGATCCCAGTCATCTCTGAGACCCTCGCACAACAATGCAAAGCAAGCTGGAAATGAAGGGATCGAGGGGCGCGCCGCGCGTGCACGGCCCGCGGCGGCGCGTCCGCCTCTGGTGAAAAGTGCGACGGATGAGAACGGATCCTTAGGGCCCCAAAAACTCCCGTGCATCAATGCTCGCGGCCATTGAAAAGGTTTGTGGGCTCGCACCCCAATCACGATCCAAGGCGCGCCGCAATGCAGCAGGACTTGCCGATCAAGCGGCCCCTGTCGCCGCGCCGCGGCAACGCGTCGCAAGCGGCGGCGTGCCCGTGCGCTGCGCTGCCCGCGAGCGCGGGTGCGCGCGCGCATGCCCGACCCAATTTCACGCAGCCAGGCCGCGCCACATCGCTGTGCGACCGCTGCAAAGGAAGGGGGGGCGCATAGAAACGGCAGCAGCACGGGCGCTGCCGTGCGAGTGGCGGACTGGGTTGCGGGCGAGCGGGGAGCGCGCGGCCACGCGCTCCCTTCCCTGTGGCCCCTATGCGCCTGCGCCCCACTCTCCTGGCCCGCCCTTGCCGAGCAGTCGCACGGCCGGAATCTTGCGTGTGCGGCCGCACACAACAACATCACAGGCCCTTTCTGTCAATCCTCTCAGCAGCCGGTGCGGCGTACGCCTCCACCAAAACAGCCGCGTCCGCCCCGCCGCCGCGCGGCGCCTTGCCGCCCCGCACCGCCGCCGCCGCTGGCCCGCCGCCGCGCCGCGCGCGCGCGTCGCGCACGAGCTTGGCCGCGCCCTGCACCATCTTATTGAACCACAGGAGATTCAAAACGAAGAGCAGCGCCGGCACGCCCAGCAGCACCCAGCGCGCGTACGCCGGCATGAACCGCTGCGAGTCGCCATAGTGCGCCCACACGTGGTGGAACAGCGGCCCGAACGCGGCCACGCGGCACGCGCCCCACACCGCGGTCATCGCGAGGCCGTTCCAGAGGTACAGCCGGCCGGCCGCGCGGCCGGCCTCGTGTAGCCGCCACCGCAGGTTGACAAACGGCGTGGTGACCTCGGTGAACAAACCAAAAAGGACGTACACATGGGCCGCGCGGGTGTCGATCGCGGTATACAGCGACAGCAGCGCGAGCAAGTGGTGTACCAGGATGGGGCCGCTGTAAAGCGCCTCCTGCGACAGCACCATGAAAAAATCCGCCGAGAAGTATCCGAGGGACGTCCCCACCGCCGCCCAGCTGACCGGCGTGGCGCGCAGGACGGCCGGCACGCCGTCAGCGGCGGATGCGGCGGCGCCGAAGGCGCCGGAGAGCAGCTGCTGCAGGCACAGGGCCGAGACGACCACTGCGTGAACCGTGGAGGGCAGCCTGCAGGGGGCGGCGGTTCGTGGGCCAGCGCCTAGGCGTGACTTTTCGCGTGCGAGCGAAGTGGTTCTGCAAGCGCCACTGCGGTGGGAAAGCGGGCTGAGGCGGTCGGCGCCGCTTGCGCCGGCGCCCTTGTGAAGAGCTGCAGGCATCTGCGGCTGCTGCATCGGCTGCGTGCCTGCCCTCTCCCGGCCGCCGCCCTCACCGCGTGTTCCAGTCAATCTGCTTTTCGTGGGTCAAACGCCGGTAGCTCGGGAAATATCGCTGCAGGGGTGCAGACGGATGGGGGGCACCGTTAGGGGTGCTCGCGGTGCGCCTTTGAAAAGGCGCAGCAGCAGCAGCAGCAGCAGCAGCAGCAGCCGCAGCAGCAGCACGTGGCTGTGTACCGAGTGGGCGGTAGCGCGGGCGGGCGCAGCTGCCGGAATGCAGGTCGAGACCACCCTCGATGGCCAGATGGCCCTGGCGCCATGGAGCCAAGCCATCTGGAGCGACCCGCTGCGTCGTCGATCCACACCGCATTCATTGAACATGCACTGCCAGTGCACTTGACCTGCTAGTGAGCCGGTCCACCGCATGCAAAGGCTGCACTTGCACACCTTGCCCGCGTCGGCGCTCAACCGGTACAGCGCTGCGTACGCGACGAAACTCGCCGCCGCGCATTGCCACACCAACGGCGGCACTGCTTGAAGGAATTCTGCGGGCATTGAAGGCAATGAGACTTGCGGGGGCCCTGCAGCTGCGAGCGTTGAGCATAGAAACGGCCACAAGAGACTCTCACCCTCAGCAGCCGCTGCCATGGCTTCCTCCGCCCTCCGGCGATGCTTTTGGGATCCTACAAGACGTTGATCCTACGTTTGCTACCAGTGCGGTGAGTTTTCAGGCCCTGGATAGAACGTGCTAGAGTGGGGATACCCAACGCTTGTGTAAGTGAAATCGCGCGGGCTAAGACCGCTCTCAGGCTGACACAATCGTTGATAGCAAGTCTCGAGACGTCAACACGTCTTGCCGGTTGCGCCGCTTGTGCGGCGTCGCACGTGACCGTGCCGCTCACCCGCAGCTGCTGTTCGCGACGCATGTGTCATTTGCATGCGGATGCCTGTCCTGCTGTCCTGTCACGACTCCCCAAGCGAGCCGATCGAAGCTCAAATCGAGCGTAGTTTACAGGTGGTGGAAAGGGCTGGCAGCAGCCTTGTTCTCGAGATACTGCTGCGCACACAGAAGAGGACACGCACGACCCTTGCCGCCGTGAGGGCAGGCCCGTTTGGGTAGCGGTGCCCATGCAATCAAGAGTAGGTAATCACAGGGCAGCGAAACGGCACGGCTAGTCTGCAAGCGGCAACTATTGCTATGATACACGGCACGATGATGGCGAGCGGCAACGCAGGTTCTCTGCCAGCCTCACAAATAAGCGGTACACTCAAGCCGGCAGGGCCCAGCTTCGACCCGCTGCACACTCACTCACACGACAGCCTCTCTACCCCTGAATGGGGCGCCGCCGCAGCCGCCCTAACGTCGCCGCCCATGCATTCGCCTCTCGTGTCACCCGTTGTGTAACCCGTACAGCGGCGTCACCCGTAGTGTCACCCGTACAGCGGCTCCCACGGCATATCAGGCGACCGCTGCGCCCAGTTTTCCGGTGACCACGGCAGGTCCCCCTCTACAAAGTGGAGCGTGTAGGAGTGCCGCGATACAGGTGACGTGTTCTCTGCATATCGATTTGGCGGAGCGAGCAGAGGAGAAGAAAGATTGTGAGAAATGGCCGCCACCCTGAAATGGCCACCGTTTGGGATCACGTGGCAAGGTGCTGGTGGCAGGCGACCACGTCTGCCGGCGGGGCCCAGGGCGTTGGGCTGGCGCAAACGCGTGTGTGCGCGAGTGCGCGCGCGCGCGGGCGCCGCCGCGCGCACCTGCTGAGTAGTGGACGTTTGCGCCGTGCAGCAGCACGAGGGTGCCCGCCTTGACCTCAATAGGCTCGAATTGTGAGAGGTCGTAGGTTGGCGAGGGCCCCGTGAACACCAGCTGCGGCGCAAATTGGTGGCCGGTGAGGATGGGTGAGGCGCGTTTGCGAGTTGGGGAAGGATGTTGGGGGCGGGTGGCGACGGGGATGGGAGGGGAGACGGAGGGCGGCGGGGAGCGACGTGGCCACCCGCCTCCCATGGGCGAGGATGGTGGCGGAGCAGCGGGCTGCAGCCCCACGGTCATGGGTTGGGCGCCGGCGCCAGATCAAGACAGGGGTTTTGGCGGGCGCCGAGGTGAGATAAGAAGTGTATGCGGGCAAACATTGTGGCAGTGGACTGCGCGGTCAGCAGAGGGCGGGCCCTTATTAGTGCCGCCAGCCAACAGGACACCGCCGAGGTCCCACGGGGACGCCCAGCGCACACGCGCTTGTGCGCGACGACTGCTAGGGCCGGTGCCGGGCCGCGCCCAGGCTGCGCGCGTGCTGTCCTCACCGCGCCGCCCGGGCCACGCACGAAGCGCCGTGCGACGCCGTCCTTGTGGATGCCCTTGAGGCCCCACAGGCAGCCGTTGCTCAGGTCTTGAGGGGGCGGGGGGTGGGGGTGGGGTTGGGCTGGGTGGGTTGGGGTGGGGTGGGGCCAGGAAGGCCGGCATCGGTGCAGGACAGGACCGTGAACTGGGTGCGCGCAGGCGGTGGACCAAGCGCGACAAGAGGCAAGATAAGGGCCCTGGGGGCTCTCACTACCCCCCAAAAAAACACACGCAAGCACATGCAGATGACGGCGGGCAGTGTGTCCCCAGGTCTGACGGCCCCCCCCCTCACCAGCGTCCTCTAGCGCCAGCCATGCGCCCACGCAGCTGGGGGGGTCGGTCCACAAAAAGGTCGAGTCCTGAGGGGCGGAGGGGATTTGCGCATGATTGTGCGTGCGTGTGTGAGTATATGTGCGCGTGTGACAAGGGCACAGCAGCAGGATGCAGGCAACCCAATGGAACCCATTGAATACTTTGCCCCCATAAAAACACACACGCCCACACACACACACACACACACACACACACACACACACACAATCTGAAAAGTGCGCGTCAACGCTCTGAACCCTCGACCCCCACAGCACCCCACCCTGCGCCCCACACGGCAGCCGTCACTCGCACCCCTGCGCACCTGGTGCGGCACGACCTCCCCGCCAATGTGCGGCTGCTTGTAAATGTACATCGACTGCACAGGAG